CTGCTGAACTGGTTAGCAGGTGTCTTGGTCTGATTTTAGCCTGTGCAAGTCACCCAGACAGATGAGGAAACTGAGGAGGTCTTTAGGCACTACCAAGGAGTGACTTGTCTCTACTGATACCTCATTTGCCCCTGAACTTGGGTGTCCTTAGTGCAGCAGGAGCAATGGAGGAGGCAGTCCTGGGGCATGGGATATACTCACTAGTTAATCTGGTCCCTGGAGCAGTTACAGCAGGACCAGGACAAGCAGATGCTGTTTTTCTGGGACCACACCCATGGTCAGAAATGATGCTCAGCTTTCACCCAGCAGCTTGTGCTTGCAAAATGTGTCATGTAGGAGCAGACTGGGCAGAAGATCAGGTATTGCATCCTTTAGGATGCTCCTGTCTCCATGCAGCTCTGGTTCCTAGAGCTGGGTCAGTTTGAGTAGGCTGAGAAAGGTCAGCCTACCTTTCTCTCACTCACTTGTGGCCTCATGCAGAAGCCATCACCCACTGTGGGGCTGGAGCTGGGGAAGGACAGCAGCTGCTGGGTTAAAAGGAGGTCACAGGCATGTTTCTGCTCTAGTTTTGCAGTTGCTGGAGATTTCCTTTGCTTTTCAAAAGGAAACTCTAGGGGTTGGTGATGCATGAGATAAAAAATGAGATCTTTTAAGGGTAGGGTTTTGTTCATTATTGCTCTGTTTGTGGTTCTCATGATTTGGAGCAACCTTGTCACACATTCATTTAAATTTGGTATGGAAGGTAAGGAAGATGAAGGATGAAATTTTCAGAAACCCTGAGGGCTTGGGAATAATTCTTCCTGGGAAGAGAATTGCACAGGGGAGAGCAGGGTGTGCTGGAGCTGATGCTGCCCTGCCTCTGGACTCTGACCCACCCCCTTGACCTGTGTTCCTGTGTGGTGGTTACATGCTGTGTAATGTCGGGAGCCTCCCTGGTCCTGACAAAGCCCCTGGGCTAATTGGGTACTCATGCCTGAATGCTGTAAATCCTGCATTTCATGCCTGACACACCACCTCATGTCTCTGACAGACTCTCTGTAATTGATTCAGTCCCAGCCCAGAAGAACCCCCCTGGGAAACATCTCTCAGTGCCCAGGGACAGGATCCCCTGGAAGGGGCACACACTGGATCAGATCCCAGCTTGGTGCTGGATCTTCTGTTGGTGAGGTACCTTAGGTCTTCTAGCCAGGCTGCTGCAAGGTCCTGGCTCACTTCATCTTCCACCTGAGAGCTTGTCCTGTACCCTCCTTAGCTAGAGGACAGTGTCCACCCTTCTTGGTTTAAGTAATAGTTGTTTTGTGTTAGGCTGGGAGGCACCTCTGGCACTGCTGCCTCTGAACTCAGGGTTAAACTATCCCTCTCCCTTTGGTATTTAACCAGACTCTGTTCTCTACCTGCCTGTGCTTATCTCAGCCCTCACTGCATTTTCATGAGATGCCCATGCAGGGGGGTTGGAACTCTGTGATCTTTAAGGTCTCTTCCAACTCTAACCATTCTGTGATTCCAGGTGGTGGTGACTGGTCCCTTCACCACGTGCAGAACTGATTTGTTAGCTCAAACCAGGACACTGAAGCTGTTGGGATTTTGGGGTGGGAAGGTGCAGGAACCAGGCAGGTGATCTGGGTGGCTGGTGAGGACCCAAAGTTCTCATTGCTCGTGAGAAACTAAAAATGTAACCAGGTGCTTTTGCCATCGTGGGGAGGCTGAGGAAAAGCTGTGATAGTGAGCAGTGACTCTGCCAGCCCGGGTGCTGTGCTGGGGCTTCATGCTGCGACGTGTTTCACTACCAGCACTTTGTGACTAGGGGGGAAAGAATGAAACGTGCGAGCACAACTGGGGCTTCCCCAGGGGGTGAATGAACTGCAGAGCAGCTAAGGAAGGATCTGGTGTCAGTGCAGCTGCCGGTTCCCGAGCCCAGCGCTGCTGCTGAGGAGCAGCTGACAGGAGGGAGGAGACCGGGCTGTGCTCCTGGGGTTGCTGTGTCGGGTTTCCACGCAGAGCACGCGTGGATGATGCGCTGCTGCCTCCTCCGGCCGCAGCCAGCCGGGAGCATGGGGCAGGTGGCTTGGAAAGGTTTATTTCTCTCCCTGTTTGATTATAAAACAGAGAAGTACGTGATCGCCAAGAACAAGAAGGTGGGGATTCTCTACCGAGTGGTGCAGCTCTCCATCCTGGCGTACCTGGTGGGGTAAGGATCACCCTGCGTGGCTCAGGCTGCTGCCCTGGGGGGGGCTGTGCAGGGTGCTCTGCCTGGGGTTTTGATGCAGATAGTTGTGCTTGTTCATACATGTTGTAATATCTGGAGTTTTGCAGTATCTGATAGACTTAGATCTGATTTTTCACCTGCTGGGGATCAGTAGATGCAGCTCTACCTCTCAGGTGAATGTAGAGTTAAAAACAGATCAAGTGGCTCTTTTGCTTTGTGCTGCATTGTTCACAGCTTTATTTCTGTGTTCGTGGGGATGGTCCCAAACCTGAACACCTGACTCATCAGAAACAACAGCATTTATGGCCGTGGTTGCTGAGCCATGACATGCTCAGGTCTACATGGGAGGGAATCAAGCACAAAGTGGCAAATTTCTTTGCTGGAGAAGATCACAGCAGCCAGGACTGTGGAGGCTGAGGCAGTGTGAATGTCAGCTGCCTTGGATTTATTTCAGAGCAGGGAGAGTTGGCATGGAGATAGCTAGAGCACCTCTCAGAAAAGGCCTAGTTCTGCAAGAATCTGATCATACTGATATATAACAAACAGTGATACTCCCTGCAGCTTCCAGAGTCAGACCTGGAATTATCCAGCCTGTGTGATGCCCATGCCATTGCTTCCTGAGTTTCTGAGGCTTTGCAGAATGTGACTCAGAAGTCTTTACCCTCACTGTCTGTGCTTTGGAGCCCCTTCACCCTTCTCACACCTCGTGTTTTCACTGATTAAATATAGCAGAGTCATTTTTACATGCTGGGTTTATTTATAGAAAGGTGTAGAGTTCCAGAGCCTGCTTCAGTTAGCAGGGCAGAGATGGAGTCTCAGCACTCAGGCATGTAGTAGCTGCTAAAGGAGGAATCCTGCAGATAATGTTGCTGAGGACACATCCTCTCTGTCCAAGGGGGACACAGTATGACCAGTGACTGAGTGTTCAGACTGCCTGGGCCATACAGGCTTTTTGTCCCTTGCAAGCCTTGGGCTCAGTCACTGCTGGTGCCTGCAGGGACTCCTCTGTGGCTGGGGGTCATGGCAGAGGTGGTTTGGGTTGATCTGATGTCTGACTGCTTGGTTATGTCCTCCACCTGTTCAGGTGGCTTGGGGGTTATGATCATGAAGCCCTTGAGGATCATTACTGGCATGTAGCTGCCATTTCTTCCCCCATGCACTGCTGAA